TGTTGGAAAAAACTTATTTTTGCACATTGCAGCAAATAGCACTATTCGGTCAAACGCCACCTGCTGAGCACAAAGCGCTGAGTTTCAGCTCGATTGCTTCAATAGTTCGTGAGATATGACAAAATGTTGGAAAAAACTTATTTTTGAACAGTGCAGCAAATAGTGCTATTCGGTCAAACGCAACCTGCTGATCGTTGTGCTCAGCAGGTTGCGTTTGACCGAATAGCACTATTTGCTGCACTGTGCAAAAATAAGTTTTTTCCAACATTTTGTCATATCTCACGAACTATTGAAGCAATCGAGCTGAAACTCAGCGCGTTGTCCTCAGCAGGTTACGTTTGACCGAATAGCACTATTTGCTGCAATGTGCAAAAATAAGTTTTTCCAACATTTTGTCATATCTCACGAACTATTGAACCAATCGAGCTGAAACGCAGCGCGTTGTTCTCAGCAGGTTGCGTTTGACCGAATAGCACTATTTGCTGCAATGTGCAAAATAAGTTTTTTCCAACATTTTGTCATATCTCACGAACTATTGAACCAATCGAGCTGAAACTCAGCGCGTTGTGCTCTACAGGTTGCGTTTGACCAAATAGCACTATTTGCTGCAATGTGCAAAAATATGTTTTTTCCAACATTTTGTCATATCTCACGAACTATTGAACCAATCGAGCAGAAACTCAGCGCGTTGTGCTCAGCAGGTTGCGTTTGACCGAATAGCACTATTTGCTGCAATGTGCAAAAATGAGTTTTTTCCAACATTTTGTCATATCTGACGAACTATTGAACCAATCGAGCTCAAATTCAGCGCGTTGTGCTCAGCAGGTTGCGTTTGACCGAATAGCACTATTTGCTGCAATGTGCAAAAGTAAGTTTTTCCAACATTTTGTCATATCTCACGAACTATTGAACCAATCGAGCTGAAACTCAGCGCGTTGTCCTCAGCAGGTTGCGTTTGACCGAATGGCGCTATTTGCTGCAACGTGCAAAAATAAGTTTTTCCAACATTTTGTCATATCTCACGAACTATTGAACCAATCGAGCTGAAACTCAGCGCGTTGTGCTCAGCAGGTTGCGTTTGATCGAATAGCACTATTTGCCGCAATGTGCAAAAATAAATTTTTTCCAACATTTTGTCATATCTCAACGAACTATTGAACCAATCGAGCTGAAACTCAGCGCGTTGTGCTCAGCAGGTTACGTTTGACCGAATAGCACCATTTGCTGCAATGTGCAAAAATAAGTTTTTTCCAACATTTTGTCATATCTCACGAACTATTGAGCCAATGGAGCTGAAACTCAGCGCGTTGTGCTCAGCAGGTTGCGTTTGACCGAATAGCACTATTTGCAGCAATGTGCAAAAATAAGTTTTTTCCAACATTTTGTCATATCTCACGAACTATTGCACCAATCGAGCTCAAACTCATCGCGTTGTGCTCAGCAGGTTGCGTTTGACCGAATAGCACTATTTGCTGCAATGTGCAAAAATGAGTTTTTTCCAACATTTTGTCATATCTCACGAACTTTTGAACCAATCGAGCTCAAACTCAGCGCGTTGTGCTCAGCAGGTTGCGTTTGACCGAATAGCACTATTTGCTGCAATGTGCAAAAATAAGTTTTTCCTAACATTTTGTCATATCTCACGAAGTATTGAACCAATCGAGCTGAAACTCAGCGCGTTGTGCTCAGCAGGTTGAGTTTGACCGAATAGCACTATTTGCTGCAATGTGCAAAAATAAGTTTTTCCGACATTTTGTCATATCTCACGAACTATTGAACCAATCGAGCTGAAACTCAGCGCGTTGTGCTCAGCAGGTTGCGTTTGACCGAATAGCACTATTTGCTGCAATGTGCAAAAATAAGTTTTTTCCCACAATATGTCATATCTCACGAACTATTGAACCAATCGAGCTGAAACTCAGCGCGTTGTGCTCAGCAGGTTGCGTTTGACCGAATAGCACTATTTGCTACAATGTGCAAAAATAAGTTTTTTCCAACATTTTGTCATATCTCACGAACTATTGAACCAATCGAGCTGAAACTCAGCGCGTTGTGCTCAGCAGGTTACGTTTGACGGAATAGCACTATTTGCTGCAATGTGCAAAAATAAGTTTTTTCCAACATTTTGTCATATCTCACGAACTATTGAACCAATCGAGCTGAAACTCAGCGCGTTGCGCCCAGCAGGTTGCGTTTGACCGAATAGCACTATTTGCTGCAATGTGCAAAAATAAGTTTTTTCCAACATTTTGTCATATCTCACGAACTATTGAACCAATCGAGCTGAAACTCAGCGCGTTGTGCTCAGCAGGTTGCGTTTGACGGAATAGCACTATTTGCTGCACTGTGCAAAAATAAGTTTTTCCAACATTTTGTCATATCTCACGAACTATTGAACCAATCGAGCTGAAACTCAGCGCGTTGTGCTCAGCAGGTTGCGTTTGACCGAATAGCACTATTTGCTGCAATGTGCAAAAATAAGTTTTTTCCAACATTTTGTCATATCTCACGAACTATTGAACCAATGGAGCTGAAACTCAGCGCGTTGGGCTCAGCAGGTTGCGTTTGACCGAATAGCACTATTTGCTGCAATGTACAAAAATAAGTTTTTTTCAACATTTTGTCATATCTCACGAACTATTGAACCAATCGAGCTGAAACTCAGCGCGTTGTGCTCAGCAGGTTGCGTTTGACCGAATAGCACTATTTCCTGCAATGTGCAAAAATAAGTTTTTTCCAACATTTTGTCATATCTCACGAACTATTGAACCAATCGAGCTGAAACTCAGCGTTGTGCTCAGCAGGTTGAGTTTGGCCGAATAGCACTATTTGCTGCAATGTGCAAAAATAAGTTTTTTCCAACATTTTGTCACATTTCACGAACTATTGAACCAATCGAGCTGAAACTCAGCGCGTTGTGCTCAGCAGGTTGCGTTTGACCGAATAGCACTATTTGCTGCAATGTGCAAAAATAAGTTTTTTCCAACATTTTGTCATATCTCACGAACTAGTGAACCAGTCGAGCTGAACCACCGCGCGTTGTGCTCAGCAGGTTGCGTTGACCGAATAGCACTATTTGCTGCATTGTGCAAAAATAAGTTTTTTCCAACATTTTGTCATATCTCACGAACTATTGAACCAATCAAGTTGAAACTCACCGCGTTGTGCTCAGCAGGTTGCGTTTGACCGAATAGCACTATTTGCGGGAATGTGCAAAAATAAGTTTTTTCCAACATTTTGTTTATATCTCACGAACTATTGAAGCAATCAAGCTGAAACTCAGCGCGTTGTGCTTACCAGGTTGCGTTTGACCGAATAGCACTATTTCCCATGCTGCAATTTGCAAAAATAAGTTTTTTCCAACATTTTGTCATATCTCACGAACTATTGAACCAATCGAGCTGAATCTCAGCGCGTTGTGCTCAGCAGGTTGCGTTTGACCGAATAGCACTATTTGCTGCAATGTGCAAAAATAAGTTTTTTCCAACATTTTGTCATATCTCACGAACTATTGAACTAATCGAGCTGAAACTCAGCGCGTTGTGCTCAGCAGGTTGCGTTTGACCGAATAGCACTATTTGCTGCAATGCGCAAAAATAACTTTTTTTCCAACATTTTGTCATATCTCACGAACTATTGAACCAATCGAGCTCAAACTCAGCGCGTTGTGCTCCGCAGGTTGCGTTTGATGGAATAGCACTATTTGCTGCAATGTGCAAAAATAAGGTTTTTCCAACATTTTGTCATATCTGACGAACTATTGAACCAATCGAGCTGAAACTCAGCGCGTTGTGCTCAGCAGGTTGCGTTTCACCGAATAGCACTATTTGCTGCAATGTGCAAAAATAAGTTTTTTCCAACATTTTGTCATATCTCACGAACTATTGAACCAATCGAGCTGAAACTCAGCGCGTTGTGCTCAGCAGGTTGCGTTTGACCGAATAGCACTATTTGCTGCAATGTGCAAAAATAAGTTTTTTCCAACATTTTGTCATATCTCACGAACTATTGAACCAATCGAGCTGAAACTCAGCGCGTTGTGATCAGCAGGTTGCGTCTGACCGAATAGCAGTTTTTGCTGCAATGTGCAAAAAAAAGTTTTTTCCAAAATTTTTTCATATCTCACGAACTATTGAACCAATCGAGCTGAAACTCAGCGCGTTGTGGTCAGCAGGTTACGTTTGACCGAATAGCACTATTTGCTGCAATGTGCAAAAATAAGTTTTTTCCAACATTTTGTCATATCTCACGAACTATTGAACCAATCGAGCTGAAACTCAGCGCGTTGTGTTCAACATGTTGCGCTTGACCGTATAGCAGTATTTGCGGCAATGTGCAAAAATAAGTTTTTTCCAACATTTTGTCATATCTCACGAACTATTGAACCAATCGAGTGGAAAACTCAGCGCGTTGTGCTCAGCAGGTTACGTCTGATCGAATAGAACTATTTGCTGCAATGTGCAAAAATAAGGTTTTCCAACATTTTGTCATATCTCACGAACTATTGAACCAATCGAGCTAAAGTCAGCGCGTTGTTCTCAGCAGGTTGCGTTTGATCGAATAGCACTATTTGCTGCAATGTGCAAAAATAAGGTTTTTCCAACATTTTGTCATATCTCACGAACTATTGAACCAATCGAGCTGAAAGTCAGCGCGTTGTTCTCAGCAGGTTGCGTTTGATCGAATAGCACTATTTGCTGCAATGTGCAAAAATAAGGTTTTTCCAACATTTTGTCATACCTCACGAACTATTGAACCAATCGAGCTGAAACTCAGGGCGTTGTGCTCGGCAGGTTGCGGTTTGATCGAATAGCACTATTTGCGGCAATGTGCAGAAATAAGTTTTTTCCAACATTTTGTCATATCTGACGAACTATTGAACCAATCGAGCTGAAACTCGGCGCGTTGTGCTCAGCAGGTTGCGTTTGACCGAATAGCACTATTTGCAGCAATGTGCAAAAATAAGTTTTTTCCAACATTTTGTCATATCTCACGAACTATTGAACCAATCGAGCTGAAACTCAGCGTTGTGCTCAGCAGGTTGCGCTTGACCGAATAGCACTATTTGCAGCAATGTGCAAAAATAAGTTTTTTCCAACATTTTGTCATATCTCACGAACTATTGAACCAATCGAGCTGCAACTCAGCGCTTTGTGCTCAACAGGTTGCGTTTGACCGAATAGCACTATTTGCAGCAATGTGCAAAAATAAGTTTTTTCCAACATTTTGT